TTATATTTTTTTATTTTATTTTATTATTTTATTTTTGGTACCGGGATCCCACTTGGGCTCTTGCGCTTGTGAGGCAGGCAGAGAAACCACTGAGCCAAAACCCCGGTCCTTGAATTGCTTTTAAATACTTGTATTTTAGTAAAGCCAGCCAAGTCATTGTTTAAAAACAGAAAAAGGGAACTAAAGAAAAATATGTGGCTGGATTGGTAAAGAAAAGGGCAAAAGAATGGACTGAGCCTGGTAGCCTTCCTGGAGGTGTGTGTGTCCCTGCTAACCTATGTCTGTCGGTCTGGCCTTTCCCCAGGGATGTCAGAAACACCCATGCTCCCATCTTCCCTCATGCTGCTCAACACAGCCCATGAGTACTTGGGCAGGAGGTCCTGGTGCTGCAATTCAGATGGGGCTCTGCTTCGATTTTACGTGAGTGATTGATTTCCTCTGGGCAATGGGCTGCTAATGCAGGGTTGGGGCAGGCCCAGGGATTGCTGAGGGAGCCAGGGAGCCATGCTGGGTTTGCTCAGCTCATACTGCATGTATGTGACTGCCAGAGATCAGAATTTGGTTTCTGTGTTGGTCTGCTTTTTGTTACTATGACAAAATACCCGAGGTATTCAATTCAAAAGGAAGAAAAGTTTTTATTGTTTCATGGTTTCAGTCTGTGGTCATTTGGCCTCATTGTCTTTAGGCCTGGGATAAGGCAAAACGTCATGGTGAAAGCATAGTGGAGGAAGCCTACCTGTTTACCTTATTGTGACTGAAAAGTAGATAGGAAGGAGCTGGGAATCCCAATATCTTGTTTAAGGCACTTTCCTGCCCCCTAATGACTTAGCTTCCTTCAATTAAGCCCTACCTTTTGTCCACCTGGAGACTTACCTCTTAAAAGTTCTACCACCTCCTTATAGTGCCATGGGCTGGGGACCAATTCTTCACCACATGGGCCTTTTAGGGACATTCAAGATCCAAAATACAGCAGTACCTTCATGCAGCTGAGGCTCAAGAGCTTCAGACTTGGTCTTCTTTAGCAGGTAGATTTAGTCACTAAGTTATTACCGAGTCTATTAGTAGTGGGCACAGAACCAGGTCTTAATAATGATTTTAAAAGTAATCATTGCATTCACTATCACTGCCAACTTCTGTTGAGTCCTGTTTGCCAAATACTACTTATCAGGCCAGGTCCCGTTTGCTTAATCAGTATATATTACTGTATTCATTAATCCAGTAAATGTTTAATGAGCATAACAGGTTTCCTTAAATTTTCCAATGGTGATTCCTTGGTATTGGCTTCTTGAACTTACTAGGACTAAGCAGCATGAACCCTGTCACAAAAGCTGTTTGTCAAGTGGGAGACCAAGCTGTTCTAGACAAGTTACAGAGTACCAGATACTCTGGATATACCAAACAGGGGCAACTAACCCATCGTACAATGTCTGCTCATAAAGTTTGATTGGGACATAGCCATGCCCATTCATGTACATATGAACCGTGCTACTTTTGCAATACAGTGGCAGAATCTAGAAGCCAGAGAGATAATTTGTGTAGCTTTCAAAGGCCTAAACTGTTGACTATCTGGGCCTGTAAGAAGATTGTTGTTCTGCTCTATACCTTCTTTTCTGTGAACATGCAATCTTTATAGCTGCATTCACCCTCTTCTGTCTTATGTCTTCTCCATACCTCTTATCACCTCTAGCATACCATATATTTACCTTCTTTATTACACTTATTGTATGTTTCTTTTCCATTGACATGAAACTTGTAAGAGGGTTTCTGTTAGTTTGCTTCATTGCTGGGTCCAAGTACCTAACATAGCACTTTGCACAGAACAGGTGCTTAATAAATGTGGGTTGAAGGAGACTAAACATATATGCAGAGTTCATGTATGCGTAGGGTCTGACAGTTTGCAGAACACACACGTGGGGTGAGGAGACCCATCTGGCCCGTATCCCTGGGGCTGGTTAGTGTCTGAGGCAGGTTCCAGCCCCTCTGCAGATACCTGAGTGTCTGTGCCATCCAGTAAGTTCCATATCCCCTCACTCTGGGTACTCACTCTGGGTCAACTCTGTGCTTCAGACCGTTTTTATTTATTTATTTTTAAATTAAATTAAATTTTTTTGGTTCCGGGGATGGAACTCAGGACCTTGCGCTTGTGAGGCAGGCGCAGTGCCACTATGCTAAATCCCCGGCTTTTCACCATTTTTAGAGGAGCTGTTAGGTGGTGTCTGTATTGCTTCTTTCCTCCCTCTGCCTGTCAGAGGATAGGGACGCTGTCTGCCTCCATGATGCTTCCCCCACAGAGGCAGCCCCTCCTACGCAGCTTGGAAGACTAAGGTAGCACCTTTGTAGGCTGGTTTTTGGTAAGAGTGGGGCTGAGAAGGTAAAACAGGCTGAAGGAGTCCGGGGATTGTCCTATTCCTAGTTTGTCTTAGTCTGTATCTCTTGGTGGAGCATGAATTCAGGCTGACAGCATCAGTTGAGTATGAGAGAGCGTATGTGGCATTCTGTTGCGTTTCATTTACAGTCCCTGAGATCCCTTCCCAGGGCCAACCTGGGATCCCTTCTGAGCCCCTCCCCGTAACCGACTGCTGGACTCCCCCTGGTCCTGCATGACTGGCTCTTCCTTTCCTTCTCGCCCTCCCACTGGCCCTGCCTCGGTCCCTCCACTCTACCCCACCGACTGCTGGGTTCCCTCCCTCTTTGTTTCTTGTCTTATCCCTCCCCACCAGGTGACATCCCTGAGACAAGGACCTTTTCAGTGTACTGTCTGAAGCATCCCTGGGGATGTGAGTAGTACCTGACATAGACCCTTGTCCAGTTGATATTTCTCAAATGGATGCATAAATGAGTGAACGGAAATTCATTCATCTGTCCAGAAGTGCTGGGTGAGCATTCATCATTCTGGGTTCTGTGAGGGTTGTGACGGTGAATACTTTCTTACTATCTCTTCTGTTGTCCTAGGTGTATGGTCTGTAGGTAAAGGGATGTATCTTAAAAATGATTTGGCCTCAGGAATACCTTTTATGTGGATTGTTTTCTCATCTTGAATAGAATGATATGTTCTCTGAGAGAAATCTCGGATCCCATTCCTTTTTAAATTTTTCTGTGTTCCATTTGGGCTGAGTTCCCCCCACCCCCATACTAGGAATTGAAGCTGGGAGTACATTACCACTAAGCTATGTCCCTAGTATTCTTTCTTTTTATGACAAGGTATTAATAAGTCATCTGGTTGCCCAGGCTGGACTCGAACTAGTGATCCCCCTCCTTGAACCTCCCAGAGTGCTGGGATTACAGGTGTGTGTCATGACATCCAGCCGCAAGGTTGAGGGATTTCTGTCCATTCACCCATACTCAGCTCAAATAACTGCTGTCCTGTGGAGCTTATACTATTGTTTGTTTGTTTGTTTGTTTTGAGACAGGGCCTTGCTGTGCAGCTCAGGATGGCCTTGAACTTACTATGTAGCCTAGGCTGGCCTCGTACTACCAGTGATCCTTCTGTGTCAGCCTCATGAGGGCTGGGGTCACAGGCATGTGCCATCACACCTGGCTATATTGCTTTTTGGATAGTTCTTTTTTTACGCTTTAGTCCATGTACCATTATACAGATTGTGTGTGTTACCAATGTTCTATATTTGCTGTTAACTTGTCTTCTAATAGTAGAAAGTTACAGGAAGTGTGGCATATTTTTCATTACCTTCTCTCCCTCTATTAAAGTTGCTGTGTATTTTTCTTTTTTGGGCCAGGAATTGAACTCAGGGCCTTGTGCTTGCCAGGCTGGTACTGTGCCCCTGAGCTACATCCCTTTCCCATGGTGTGTATCTTTTTGTCCAGGTTTTTATACTTATTGTGTATCTGCATATTGCTGAACAACATATAGTTACACAGGTTTTTAAATTTTACGTATAAAGCATACAGTATGTAAGTAACCGTTTGCAGCTTGCTTTTACTCATTTAAATTCACAGATATATCTACATTGAAACAAGTAAATCTGATTTGTTTTAATTGCTTTCTAGGACTTTTTTTTTTTTTTTGAGACAGGGTCTTACTATGTAGTTGAGACTGTATTGGTTTTTTTTGGTACCGGGGATCGAACTCGGGTCCTTGCGCTTGCAAGGCATGAGCGGAACCACTGAGCTAAATCCCTGGCCCTAGTTGAGACTGACCTGGAACTCACTTTGTAGCCCACGCTGGTCTCGAACTCACAGCGATCCTCCTGCCTCAGCCTCCCGAGTTCTGGGATTATAGGCATGCGCCACCATGCCTGGCTAGGACCTTTTTGTTTTGTTTTGTTTTGTGTTTTTGAGACAGGATCTTGCTATGTAGTTCAGACTGGCTTGAACTCCATTTGTATCCTAGGCTGGCCTCAAAATTTCAGCAATCTTCCTGTCAGCCTCCTGATTGCTGGGATTATAAGCATGCGCCAACATACCCACTTTATAGGATTCTATTATTGGATAGGAATGATTTTAAGATTTTTTGTTTGGAAAATTCCAAACATATATTAAAGTAGAAATGATAATAATTAAAGTCATTCCTGTATATTGAGTTCTGATAAGTCATTATTAACTCATAATGGATGGCTACTTCCCCACTTACTCCTATCCCACATTGTTTTAAAGAAAATCCTGGATATTTTAGTATTTCGTTTATAAATATTTGTTATTGTAATTTTTTTATCCAATCTTCTAGTGATAGCATTGAGGTGGTTTATCTATTTAGGGGTTTTAAATGGTGTTATGGTTAACATTCACCAAAGGGTTGTTCTATGTACATATGTGGTAGTTTCTCTAGCGTAGATTCCTATAAAAAGAACTACTAGATCATAGAAGTGCATATCGTCACTTTTATTTTTTAATTTTTATTTATTTATTTATTTTTTTGAGACAGGGTCTCACTATGTAGCTCAGCCTGGCCTCGAACTCACTATGTGGTCCAGGCTGGCTTCAGACTCGTGGAAATACTCTGGCCTTAGCCTCCTGAGTGCTAGGATTATAGGCATGCACTACCATGCCTAACTTGTCACCTTAAAAAACTATATTTTCAGCTAGGTGTGGGGTGTGTGCCTGTAATCCCTGAAGTTGGGAGGCTGAGAGATCATAAATTTGAAACCAGCTTGGGCTACCTAGTGAATTTGGGGCTAACCTGGGCAACATGGTGAAACCTTGTGTTAAAGAAACCAAGCTAAACCGAAATAAACAAACTAAAGAACTCTACTTTTGTCTTTTTGGTAGCCGTATGAGAATACCCATTGTGCGTCAGTCCTAGATGTTATATAGACTTAAATGTCAATCTAAGAGGCATGAAATGGTATTTCATTGTTCTTTAAATGTTCCTGGGCCAGGGATTTAACTCAGTGGTGCCACTGCCTGCCTCATAAGCAAGAGGTTCCAAGTTTGATCCCAGGTACCAAAAAACAAAACAACAACAA